CAGACGAACACGGCTGGTAAGCAAGGCAGTGAATACACTCTCGACCCGAGTGAGCTCTCGCGATCGGGTTCTGTCGTATGCCGCGCACGCACTGGGTCTGGTGTGTAGGTACTGGGTCTAGCAACAGGGCACTGTCTGTTGTATGTAGCGTCCTACTATGGTGTGTGGGGCTCTGTCTCTTGCATGTAACTATACTAGCTATGGCGTGTGGGGTACTGGCTGTGTTGTGTGGGGCACTGGCTGTGGCGTGTGAGGCCCTGATTGTGGTGTGTGAGGCCCTGATTGTGGTGTGTGAGGAACTGGCTGTGGCGTGTGAGACACTACCTGCGGCGTGTGAGTCACTGGCTGTGGCATGTGAGGAACTTGCTGTGTTGTGTGTGGCACTGTCTGTGTTGTGTGGAGCACTGTCTTTGGTGTGTGAGGCACTGGCTAAGGTGTGTGGGCACAGGCTGTGGCATGTGGGGCACTGGCTGTGGCGTGTGGGGCACTGGCTGTGGCGTGTGGGCACTGGCTGTGGCGTGTGAGGCCCTGGCTGTGGCGTGTGGGGCCCTGGCTGTGGCGTGTGGACACTGGCTGTGGCGTGTGAGGCCCTGGCCGTGGCGTATGGATACCGGGTGTGGCGTGTGGGTACTTGGCTGTGGCGTGTGAGGCCCTGGCCGTGGCGTATGGATACCGGGTGTGGCGTGTGGGTACTTGCTGTGTTGTGTGTGGACTGCCTGTGGTTTTTGGGGCGCTGTCTTTGTCAGCCTGAGCTAGCACGCTCCTCCTCGTAGGAACGGTGACACACTCTCTCTTCGGTGGCAGCTGCCCCCTCCCTGCTGGCTTCCCCCACGTTCTCCGTGAACTCAGTGCTGTGAAGCAGGACTCATGTACTCCCCTAAGGAGACGAGCGTTTCCTTACGCCAAGGGCGTCTCCTTTGAGAGAGAGGAGAAACCCTAACCCTCCCCCGAAGAGGAGGCCACCGAGGCCACCGGAGGCCGAGGCCAGTGACCCGTGTGTGTGATGGACGCCCTGGGGTGACCGCCCAGGAGACCCCGTGGCATTTCCGTGGCTCCATGGCTGAGACAGTGACACTGGGTGGGGCGGTGCAGACGGCCACGGCCACGGCCACTCACATCAATCAGGTGCTTGACCTCGTGCTTCCTGAGGTCACTGCCGATCTTGGCCGCCAGCAGCACACAGGCCCCCGCACAGAGCTTCCGGTTCTGCTTGTTCAGCTTCCCCTTGAGGGCGAGCTTCTCGAAGTAGACGAAGGCCATGGCCACCGTGGGCTCCTCGAAGCCGCAGTCCTCCTGCGCCAGCTTCCGCATCTCGCGCTTCAGGCTGGAGGGGCGGGAGGGGCAGGGAGGGGCCTGTTGGAGCCTGAGCACCAGGTCCCGAGGACAAGACTTCACCCAGAAAGCACTGCCCTGCCGTCCCCCAGGGGACGGGCACTAAACCGTGAGATGCTGCGTTGTGTGGGGAAGAGACTCGTCTAGACCCGCGGTCGCCAACCGGTGGTCCGTGAGGTCCGAGAGGTTGGCGGCCGTGGTCTAGACCACACGGCACAGGCGCACACTGGACCCCAGGGCGGATGGGGTCCCTGGACACTCGGAGAGCTGCCCAGATGGAAGAGGGACCCCACAGGAGGGACGAGGTCCTGCCAGAGACGGAGACGGCCGTGAGGTGGGCGCCTGGAGTCAGCGCTGTGGAGTGACGGTCACGTTCGTTACTGATGTCAGACGGTCAGGCTCAGCACCCTGTGAGCTCAGAGCGGCTGCCCAGCGAGAGGACAGAGTGACCGTCTTCTTATCTTTGGTCAAACCCAACACGCCAGCACCAGCTCAGCACCAAGATTCACGTGGACATAAATGCTGGCACTTACTCCAACATGGTGTTGTTTCACGCAGTCCAGCCCCATTACCACGTACACACATGCCCACACGCACACACATGCCCACATGCACACACATGCCCACACGCGCACACATGCCCACACGCACACACGCACATACATACACACTCACGCACATGCCCACACACACGCACATGCATACACGCACACACATGCCCACATGCACACACATGCCCACATGCACGCACACGCTCTCCTGGTACACAGGCCTCACACGCTGGTTTCCCTCTGGTGCAGCCAGAGACTGCTTGGCCGGCAGGCACGCGCCCCCATCGGCCATGAGGGAATGTGATTTTGCTTCGGCTGCTTTGCTGCAAGACAGGGCTCGGCCGTCCTCCTGGGAGTGGCTGTGGGCAGGGAGCCATTTCAGACCCAGGGCCCAGCTCCTCTCTCCTGCTTTGCCTGCATCTGAGAACGTGACTCCTATGCCGTTTCCCGTAACATAAATCGGACTGAACGGTGGGCTGCGGAAATGACAGCAGAAACGATTTTTCCCTAATAGTCGTCTCCCCTGGTCCTTGCCAGCTCCTGCCATGAGACCGCCCTCTGTCCTCTGCCCTGTGCCCTCTGCCCTGGCGCTCACAGAGGCCCTCCCAGCAGCTAGCCCCTCGTAGGCCTTTGTTAGTTCTCACCCAAGGACATTTTCCCATTGATTTTTAGAGAGAGAGGAAGAGGGGGAGAGAGAGGAAGAGAGGGAGAGAGAAACATTGATGTGAGAGACGCATCGATTGGTTGCCACCCTTCCCCCCCTCCCCACCCCCCAAGCTGAGGCCGCGATCCAACCTGCAGCCAGGTCCGGGCCCTTGACTGAAAAGCAAACCGGAGACCCTCGGGGACGCCGGAACCACCGAGCCTCCGCCAGGGCTCAGGAGCCTCTTTGCTGAACGTGCCCACCTTTCGCTTGAACCACCGTCCAGAGCACAAGTGCGCTGAGCGCTGGGAGGGGCTGAGGGAGCTCGAGCAGACGGCCACCTACCTCCTGATTTTGCTGAGCGTTAACTTGATGTGAGGGAACTTCTCCCTGAAGGTCTCGTTCATGTCCTTCTTGAGGTCCGAGGGCTTCACGTAGGCGATCACTGTGGTCTGTAAGGAAGGCAGCGAGGTCACGCCCTCCACCGAGGCTACTGCAGTGGGTGCCCGCGGCGACTCCCATACCCCACGCCCGGGGAACCCCGAGCCTGAGGAGGCCCAGCCTCCAGAGGCAGAGGGGGACCACTCGCTGCTCTCAGGACCGGGGGGTGGGCAGCACAGGGCCTCTGCTCTCTAGGGCCAGCGCCCGGCAGGCAGGGAGCCTCACTCGCACATCGCGGACGCGCACGGGTGTCACCCACTCCGGCCACCACCGGAGACTGTTTGTGACCAAACCTCAGGCTGCACCTCCAGAGAGTGAGGCGGCCCTGCCTCCCGGAGGGCTACTTCGAGAACCACGGGAGACGTCCATTGTGCTTGGAATTCAGCGCGCACTCAACAAACGTGAGTCCTTTTCCAATTGTGGGAGAACACACGACACGGAGACTCGTCCCCATTAAAGCCCCTTCCTCCCTCGGCTCCTCCTGGCCACGCCACCTCTGTCCCTGTGACTGACGACTCCGCGTCCTAAGACAAGTGGGGCGTGTGGGGTTTGTCCCGCAGAGACTGGTTGTCTCACTGAACACACGTCCTCAGGGCCCATCCACGCGTGGCACACGCCGTGGCACATGTCAGCATGGGTAGGACCAGTGTGGCCCCCGTCCCTGCTTTTCTGTCCTTAATCCGATGGAACAGCAGCAGGAGTGGGTCTGCGTGGGGTCAGGGCTCCCACGCCAGCCCCCCGTCGCTCTGAGAACGTGGCTACCTGGCCCGAGCCTCACGGCTGCTCCTCTGCACAGGAGAGAACCCCTGGCGGCTGCCCCAGGGGCCGACCGAGACGACACAGAACAGAACCTTCCCGAGAGGCCACGGGCATCTCATCGAGAGCATCGCAGGGAGGGCAGCACCGCTCGCTCGGCCCACAGTCGGTGTCTGAGCTGGGCCCGCTCTGCAGGTGACGCTGCCCTGGGAGCTTCAGGTAAGTTGTGTCCTCCTGAGCCCAGGTTCTGGGGGCCGGGGGGTGGACCGCCCTGCCGTCCTCAGCCCCAGTCTCTCTCAGGCACACTTTCTGGGGTCCAGCAGCCACGACTCTCTGC